GTATGTTGTCTGGCAGTAGATGAAAGTGGAAGGGGGTAGTGTTGCTGGAGAGACTGAAGATGAAGGGGGTGTGTTGCGGGCAGTGATAAAGGGTGGAAGGAGGGTAGTGTTTTCTGGAAATAGACTGAAGGTGGAAGGGGGGTTTTGGGTTGTTGGCGGGGGACTAAAGAGTGGAAAGGGGGGTAGTGTTTGTCTGGCAGTAGACTGAAGAGTGGAAGGAGGGTATGTTGTTTGGCAGTAGACGAAGAGGGGGAGGGGGGTAGTGTTGTTGGCATAATGAAGGTGGAAGGAGGGTAGTGTTTTTGGGCGAGACTAAAGAGGGGAAAGGAGGGTAGTGTTTTGGGAGTAGATGAGGGGGAGGAGGGTAGTGTTGTCGGGGCAGTAAGAAGAGTGGGGGGGAGGGTAGTGTTGTTGGCAGTAGACTGAAGAGGCGGGAGGGTAGTTTGTTGGCAGAAGATAAAAGATGGGGGAGGGTTGTTGTCGCAGTAGCAAAGAGTGCAGGGGGGTAGTGTTGTCTTGCAGTGACTGAGAGTGGAAGGAGGGTAGTGTTGTTGGCGTAGACTGAAGATGGGGGAGGGTGTGTTGTCGGGCAGTAGAAAAGAGGGAGGGAGGGTAGTTTTGTCTGGCAGTAGATGAAGAGGGGGGGAGGGTAGTGTTGTCGGCAGTAGACTAAAGTGGGGAAAGGGAGGGTTGGGGCTGGCAGTAGACGAAGGTGGGGGAGGGTGTGTTGTCTGGCAGTAGACTAAAGAGTGGGGGGGGGTGGGTTGTTGGCGTGACGAAGAGTGGGGGGAGGGTGTGTTGTCGGGCAGTAGACTGAAGAGTGGAAGGAGGGTATTTTTGTCTGGCTAGATGAAGAGTGGAGGGGGGGGTGTTTTGTCTGGCGTGACTAAAGAGTGGAGGGAGGGTAGTGTTGTCGGGCAGTAGAGAAGGTGGAAGGGGGTAGTGTTGTCGGGAGTAGACTGAAGGGGAAAGGGGGGGGTTTAGTGTTTCTGGCAGTAAGAAGAGTGGAGGGGGGTAGTGTTGTTGGCAGAGATGAAGAGTGGAAGGAGGGTAGTTTTTGTCTGGCAGTAGACTGAAGAGTGGAAGGAGGGTAGTGTTGTCTGGCAGTAGACTGAAGAGTGGAAGGAGGGTAGTGTTGTCTGGCAGTAGACTGAAGAGTGGAGGGAGGGTAGTGTTGTCTGGCAGTAGACTGAAGAGTGGAGGGAGGGTAGTGTTGTCTGGCAGTAGACTGAAGAGTGGAAGGAGGGTGTGTTGTCTGGCAGTAGACAAAAGGTGGAGGGGGGTGTGTTGTCTGGCAGTAGATGAAGGTGGGGAAAGGGGTAGTGTTGTCGGCAGTAGACTGAAGAGGGGAGGAAGGGAGTGTTGTTGGCAGTGACTAAGAGGGGAAGGGGGGTGTGTTGTCTGGAGTAGATGAAATGGAGGAGGGTAGTGTTGTCGGGAGTAGACTGAAGGTGGGGAGGGTAGGTTGTCTGGCAGTAGACTAAGAGGGGAGGAGGGTATTGTTGTCTGGCAGTGATGAAGAGTGGGGGGAGGGTAGTTTTTTGTCTGGCATAGACTGAAGGTGGGGGAAAGGGTAGTGTTGTCTGGCAGTAGACTGAAGGGGGAGGAAGGGTATGTTGTCGGGCAGGACTGAAGAGGGAGGGAGGGTGTTTTTCTGGCAGTGACTGAAGAGTGGAGGGAGGGTAGTGTTGTCTGGAAAGTAGACTGAGGTGGGGAAGGGTGTGTTGTTGGCAGTAGACTGAAGAGTGGGGGGAGGGTATGTTGTCTGGCATAGATAAAAGGTGGAGGGGGGGTAGTGTTGTCGGCAGTAGACTGAAGAGTGGAGGGAGGGTAGTGTTGTCTGGCAGTAGACTGAAGAGTGGAGGAAGGGTAGTGTTGTCTGGCAGTAGACTGAAGAGTGGAGGAGGGTAGTGTTGTCTGGCAGTAGACTGAAGAGTGGAGGGAGGGTAGTGTTGTCTTCAGTAGACAAAGGGTGGGGGAAGGGTAGTGTTGTTGGAGTAGACTAAAGAGTGGAAGGGGGTTTGGTTGTCGGGAGTAGACAAAAGGAGTGGGGGGTTTTTGTCTGGCAGTAGATAAAGGTGAAAAGGGAGGGTGTGTTGTTGGCGTAGCTAAAAGAGTGGAGGGAGGGTGTGTTGTCTGGCGTGACTGAGAGTGGAGGAAGGGTAGTGTTGTTGGCAGAACGAAGGTGGGGAAAGGGGTAGTGTTTTTGGCGTAGACTGAAGAGGGGAAGGAGGGAGTGTTGTTGGCAGTAGCTGAAGATGGGGGAAAGGGTGTTTTGTCTGGCAGTAGACTGAAGAGTGGAAGGAGGGTGTGGTCTGGCAGTAATGAAGTGTGAAGGAAGGGTAGTGTTTCGGCATAGACGAAGAGTGGAGGGAGGGTAGTGTTGTCTGGCAGTGACTGAAGAGTGGAGGGAGGTTTAGTGTTGTCTGGCAGTGGACTGAGAGGGGAGAAGGGTAGGTTCTGGCAGTAGATGAAGAGTGGAGGGGGGTAGTGTTGTTGGCAGTAACTGAAGAGTGGAGGGAGGTTTATGTTGTCGGGCAGTGACTGAAGAGTGGAGGAAGGGTAAGTGTTGCTGGCAGTAGACTGAAGAGTGGAAGGGTGGGGAGTTTGTCGGGCAGTAGACTGAAGAGGGGGGAGGGTGTGTTGTCTGGCATAGACTGGAGGGGAAAGGGGGGTAGTTTGTCTGGCGTAGATGAAGATGGAAGGGGGTAGTGTTGTCGGGCCGTGACTGAAGGGGGGAGGGAGGGTAGTGTTGTCTGGCTAGACTGAAGAGTGGGGGAAGGGTAGTGTTTTTGGGCAGTAGCTAAAGATGGAAGGAGGGTAGTGTTGTCTGGCAGTAGACTGAAGATGGGAAGGGTGTGTTGTTGCAGTAGAGAAGAGTGGAGGGGGGGGGGAGTGTTGTCGGGCAGTAGACTAAAGAGTGGGGGGGGTTTTAGTGTTGTCTGGCAGTGACTAAAGAGTGGAAGGAGGGTAGTGTTGTTGGCGTGACTGAAGAGTGGAGGGAGGGTTGTTTTCTGGAAGGACTAAAGAGTGGAGGGAGGGTTGTGTTGTCTGGCATAGAGAAGAGTGGAAGGAGGGAGTGTTGTTTTGCATAGATGAAGGGGGAAGGGGGGTAGTGTTGTCTGGCAGTAGACTGAAGGGTGGAAGGGGGGTAGTGTTGTCTGGCAGTAGACTGAAGAGTGGAGGGAGGGTAGTGTTGTCTGGCAGTAGACTGAAGAGTGGAGGGAGGGTAGTGTTGTCTGGCAGTAGACTGAAGAGTGGAAGGAGGGTAGTGTTGTCTGGCAGTAGACTGAAGAGTGGAGGGAGGGTAGTGTTGTCTGGCAGTAGACTGAAGAGTGGAGGGGGGTAGTTTTTGTCGGGCAGTAGACTAAAGAGTGGAAGGGGGTAGTTTTGCTGGCGTAGACTGAAGGGGGAAGAAGGTGGGTTTTTGTCTGGCAGTGATGAAGAGGGGAGGGAGGGTAGTGTTGCTGGGTGATAAAAGGTGGAGGGGGGAGTGTTGTTGGCAGTAGACAAAGAGTGGAAGGGGGGAGTTTTGTCGGGAGTAGACTGAAGAGGGAAAGGAGGGTGTTTTTGTTTCCCTGGCAGTAGATGAAGGTGGAAGGGAAAGGTAGTGTTGCTGGCGAGATGAAGAGTGGAAGGAGGGTGTTTTGTCGGGCAGTAGATGAAGAGGGGAAGGAAGGTATTTTGTCTGGCAGAGACTAAAGAGTGGGGGGGGGGGGATGTTTCTGGCAGTGACGAAGAGGGAAAGGGAGGGTATGTTGTCGGGCGTGCTAAAAGAGTGGAGGGAGGGTAGGTTGTTGGCAGTAGTGAAGAGGGAAGGAGGGAAAGTGTTGTTGGCAGTAGATAAGGTGGAGGGAGGGTAGTGTTTTTGGGCATAGAGAAGAGTGGAGGGGGGTAGTGTTTGTCGGCAGTAATGAAGAGGGAAAAGGGGTAGTTTTGTCTGGGTGACGAAGAGGGGAGGGAGGGGTGTTGTCTGGCAGTAGACTGAAGGTGGAAGGGGTATGTTCTGGCAGTAGATGAAGAGTGAAGGGGGGTGTGTTGTCTGGCAGAGACTGGGTGGAAGGGGGGTGTGTTGTCGGGGCGTAGACTGAAGAGTGGGGGGGGTAGTGTTTTGATAACAGACTGTGTGATCATTCAACGTGGCTTTTATTCATTTATTATTGTCTTGGGGATTTTGTTTGTAGTCCCAGGCAAACCCAGCACAGGCGAGGTGGGTAGTTTTAATGTAAAGAATAATGTAAGTAGTATGTAATAGCTTGACGAGCACATCCTCCACTGATGTCTAGGGGTTTCCCCCAGTGCGGGGGGAAAATTTTTAACATCGTTTCCTTAAGAAACCCTGCTGCCCATGTTCACTAATAGTAAGTAGATCCTAGGTTTTAAATCAATGGTGTGGGTCACATCCTGGGGTCAAAAACTGACCAAATTTTGCCCCAAAAATGCTCTACAAAAGAAGGGCTTTCTATATGTAGTTGTTAGTGATGTCAGCTTGTTTTTTTAAAAATGTATCAGTCTTGTAGAAATAAAGATTTATTATTGTTATTATTATTATTATCTTTGAGAGGATGTCAATATTTAGGACACTTTTTGTAACATGTTGGATATGGTGTTGAATTTCAAGTTAATGACAAGGTGAAAACCCAGAAATTTCCCCTTATTATGTTTAACAATAAGAGAATTGTTAAATCTGTTGTTCTGCTGCCAAGCATAATACTGAATGTTTTGTTAATGTTAAGTGTGAGAGTACTGGTGGTCATCCAGGTTATATGTTGAACACCTCACCATTAACAATGCTGTTCAACCCTACATATAATTAAACATAAAACTATACTTAAAATCATAAATAAAACCACATGTAAAACCATACATAAAATGATACATAAAAGTACACATATAATCATGCATAAAACTGTGTCTGATCATACATAAAACCATAAGTAAAATCATATACAAATTGTTAAGTAAAACTCATACATAAAATAAACTAAATTGTAACTTACTTGAGCATCAGTTGTCAGTGAATGTTATGATGAACATTCAGTTTATGATGAACATTCAGTTTATGGTGAACGTTCAGTTTATGATGAACATTCAGTTTATGGTGAACGTTCAGTTTATGATGAACATTCAGTTTATGATGAACATTCAGTTCTGCCACTGGTGTAACATTCAATGTAATTTGTTCAGTAAAATGTTCTCTCAGGATGTTGGCATAACATCAGTGTTCTCTGAAATGAACAATGAACACAAACATTAGGATTCTCTTTCTGAGATGAACACTGAACACTTCAATGATAGTTGCAACAGGACCCATCATACACACAATGATAGTTGCAACAGGACCCATCATACACACAATGATAGTTGCAACAGGACCCATCATACACACAATGATAGTTGCAACAGGACCCATCATACACACAATGATAGTTGCAACAGGACCCATCATACACACAATGATAGTTGCAACAGGACCCATCATACACACAATGATAGTTGCAACAGGACCCATCATACACACAATGATAGTTGCAACAGGATCCATCATACACACAATGATAGTTGCAACAGGACCCATCATACACACAAAGATAGTTGCAACAGGACCCATCATACACACAATGATAGTTGCAACAGGACCCATCATACACACAAAGATAGTTGCAACAGGACCCATCATACACACAATGATAGTTGCAACAGGACCCATCATACACACAATGATAGTTGCAACAGGACCCATCATACACACAATGATAGTTGCAACAGGACCCATCATACACATAATACTGGCCACAAAACTATTACATAACCTGTGTCTGGCTTAACCTTTGTAAAAATTCTGTGTGAATAAAAGGACCCAAATCTGGAACTGCCTGCCAGATATCTCCAGAGCCACTCTCTCTGACAGCAACTGCCTGCCAGATATCTCCAGAGCCACTCTCTCTGACAACAACTGCCTGCCATATATCTCCAGAGCCACTCTCTCTGACAGCAACTGCCTGCCAGATATCTCCAGAGCCACTCTCTCTGACAACAACTGCCTGCCAGATATCTCCAGAGCCACTCTCTCTGACAGCAACTGCCTGCCAGATATCTCCAGAGCCACTCTCTCTGACAACAACTGCCTGCCAGATATCTCCAGAGCCACTCTCTCTGACAACAACTGCCTGCCAGATATCTCCAGAGCCACTCTCTCTGAAAAACAAGTGCCTGCCAATATCTCCAGAGCCACTCTCTCTGACAACAACTGCCTGCCAGATATCTCCAGAGCCACCTCTTTTCTGACAGCAACTGCCTGCCAGATATCCCAGAGCCACTCTCTCTGACAGCAACTGCCTGCCAGATATCTCCAGAGCGACTCCTCTGACAGCAACTGCCTGCCAGATATCTCCAGACCACTCTCTCTGACAGCAACTGCCTGCCAGATATCTCCAGAGCCACTCTCTCTGACAGCAACGCCTGCCAGATATCTCCAAGCCACTCTCTTTTACAGCAACTGCCTGCCAGATATCTCCAGAGCCGCTCTCTCTGACAACAACTGCCTGCCAGATATCTCCAGAGCCACTCTCTCGACAACAACTCCTGCCAGATATCTCCAGAGCCACTCTCTCTACAACAACTGCCTGCCAGATATCCCCCAGAGCCCCCTCTCTCGGGAACAGCAACTGCCTGCCAGATATCTCCAGAGCCACTCTCTCTGACAGCAACTGCCTGCCAGATATCTCCAACCCAAACTCTCTCTGACGCAACTGCCTGCCAGATATCTCCAGAGCCGCTCTCTCTGACAAAAACCTGCCTGCCAATATCTCCAGAGCCACTCTCTCTGACAACAACTGCCTGCCAGATATCTCCAGAGCCACTCTCTCTGACAGCAACTGCCTGCCAGCTATCTCCAGAGCCACTCTCTCTGACAGCAACTGCCTGCCAGAATATCTCCAGAGCCGCCTCTCTGACAAACAACTGCCTGCCAGATATCTCCAGAGCCACTCTCTCTCTGACAAAAAGTGCCTGCCAGATATCTCCAGAGCCACTCTCTCTAAACAACAACTGCCTGCCAGATATCCCCAGAGCCATCTCTCTGACAGCAACTGCCTGCCAGATATCTCCAGAGCCACTCTCTCTGACAGCAACTGCCTGCCAGATATCTCCAGAGCGACTCTCTCTGACAGCAACTGCCTGCCAGATATCTCCAGAGCCACGCTCTCTGACAGCAACTCCCTGCCAAAATATCTCCAGAGCCACTCTCTCTGACAGCAACTGCCTGCCAATATCTCCAGAGCCACCTCTCTGACAGCAACTGCCTGCCAGATATCTCCAGAGCCACTCTCTCTGACAGCAACTGCCTGCCAGATATCTCCAGAGCCGCTCTCTCTGACAACAACTGCCTGCCAGATATCTCCAGAGCCACTCTCTCTGACAACAACTGCCTGCCAGATATCTCCAGAGCCACTCTCTCTACAACAACTGCCTGCCAGATATCTCCAGAGCCACTCTCTCTGACAGAAACTGCCTGCCAGATAACTCCAAGCCACCTCTCTGACAGCAACTGCCTGCCAGATATCCCAGAGCCACTCTCTCTGACAGCAACTGCCTGCCAGATATCTCCAAGCCGCTCTCTCTGACAACAACTCCCTGCCAGATATCTCCAAGCCCTCTCTCTGACAACAACTGCCTGCCAGATATCTCCAGAGCCACTCTCTCTGACAGCAACTGCCTGCCAGCTATCTCCAGAGCCACTCTCTCTGACAGCAACTGCCTGCCAGATATCTCCAGAGCCGCTCTCTCTGACAACAACTGCCTGCCAGATATCTCCAGACCCCACTCTCTCTGACAACAAGTGCCTGCCAGATATCCCCAAAGAGCCACTCTCTCTGACAACAACTGCCTGCCAGATATCTCCAGAGCCACTCTCTCTGACAGCAACTGCCTGCCAGATATCTCCAGAGCCACTCTCTCTGACAGAAACTGCCTGCCAGATATCTCCAGAGCGACCTCTCTGACAGCAAACTGCCTGCCAGATATCTCCAGAGCCACGCCTCTGACAGCAACTGCCTGCCAGATATCTCCAGAGCCACTCTCTCTGACAGCAACTGCCTGCCAGATATCTCCAGAGCCACTCTCTCTGACAGCAACTGCCTGCCAGATATCTCCAGAGCCGCTCTCTCTGACAACAACTGCCTGCCAATATCTCCAAGCCACTCTCTCTGACAACAACTGCCTGCCAGATATCTCCAGAGCCACTCTCTCTACAACAACTGCCTGCCAGATATCTCCAGAGCCACTCTCTCTGACAGCAACTGCCTGCCAGATATCTCCAGAGCCACTCTCTCTGACAGCAACTGCCTGCCAGATATCTCCAGAGCCACTCTCTCTGACAGCAACTGCCTGCCAGATATCTCCAGAGCCGCTCTCTCTGACAACAACTGCCTGCCAGATATCTCCAGAGCCACTCTCTCTGACAACAAATGCCTGCCAGATATCTCCAGAGCCACTCTCTCTGACAACAACTGCCTGCCAGATATCTCCAGAGCCACTCTCTCTGACAGCAACTGCCTGCCAGATATCTCCAGAGCCACTCTCTCTGACAGCAACTGCCTGCCAGATATCTCCAGAGCGACTCTCTCTGACAGCAACTGCCTGCCAATATCCCAGAGCCACTCTCCTGACAGCAACTGCCTGCCAGATATCTCCAGAGCCACTCTCTCTGACAGCAACTGCCTGCCAGATATCTCCAGAGCCACTCTCTCTGACAGCAACTGCCTGCCAGATATCTCCAGAGCCGCTCTCTCTGACAACAACGGGCCTGCCAATATCTCCAGAGCCACTCTCTCTGACAACAATGCCTGCCAGATATCTCCAGACCCACTCTCACTGACAACAACTGCCTGCCAGATATCTCCAGAGCCACTCTTCTGACAGCAACTGCATGCCAGATATCTCCAGAGCCCCCTCTCTGACAACAACTGCCTGCCAGATATCTCCAGAGCCACTCTCTCTGACAACAACTGCCTGCCAGAACTCCAAGCCACTCTCCTGACAGCAACTGCCTGCCAGATATCTCCAGAGCCACTTTTCTCTGACAACAACTGCCTGCCAGATATCTCCAGAGCCACCTCTCTGACAGCAACTGCCTGCCAGATATCTCCAGAGCCACTCTACTGACAACAACTGCCTGCCAGATATCTCCAGAGCCACTCTCTCTGACAGCAACTGCCTGCCAGATATCTCCAGAGCCACTCTCTCTGACAGCAACTGCCTGCCAGATATCTCCAGAGCCACTCTCTCTGACAACAACTGCCTGCCAGATATCTCCAGACCACCTCTCTCTGACAACAAACTGCCCTGCCAGATATCTCCAGAGCCACTCTCTCTGAAACAACTGCCGCCAGATTATCTCCAGAGCCACTCTCTCTGACAGCAACTGCCTGCCAGATATCTCCAGAGCCACTCTCTCTGACAACAACTGCCTGCCAGATATCTCCAGAGCCACTCTCTCTGACAGCAACTGCCTGCCAGATATCTCCAGAGCCACTCTCTCTGACAACAACTGCCTGCCAGATATCTCCAGACCACTCTCTCTGACAACACTGCCTCCCAATATCTCCAAGCCACTCTCTCTGACAACAACTGCCTGCCAGATATCCCCCAGAGCCACTCTCTCTGACAGCAACTGCCTGCCAGATATCTCCAGAGCCACTCTCTCTGACAACAACTGCCTGCCAGATATCTCCAGAGCCACTCTCTCTGACAACAACTCCCTTTGCCAGATATCTCCAGAGCCACTCTCTCTGACAACAACTGCCTGCCAGATATCTCCAGAGCCACTCTCTCTGACAGCAACTGCCTGCCAGATATCTCCAGAGCCACTCTCTCTGACAACAACTGCCTGCCAGATATTTCCAGAGCCACTCTCTCTGACAACAACTGCCTGCCAGATATCTCCAGAGCCACTCTCTCTGACAACAACTGCCTGCCAGATATCTCCAGAGCCACTCTCTCTGACAGCAACTGCCTGCCAGATATCTCCAGAGCCACTCTCTCTGACAACAACTGCCTGCCAGATATCTCCAAGCCACTCTCTCTGACAACAACTGCCTGCCAGATATCTCCACAGCCACTCTCTCTGACAACAACTGCCTGCCAGATATCTCCAGAGCCACTCTCTCTGACAGCAACTGCCTGCCAGATATCTCCAGAGCCACTCTCACTGACGCCATCTTCAAAA